GTAGTCGGAGAGGATGGAAGTGGTAGAGGGGGCTGCGCAAGCAGAAAAGCGAGCGTAAGCGAGCATTTGATGCTTGTTATCATTATTTATTCATATTATTATTATTTCGATGAGCACGGGATCTGCGGGTGGATTTTAAGTTTACATACCATTTGTGGATTATCTGGGGAAGTTGAACCTGAAGATAACATCCATGGTCATATTCTCTTATACGACGTACTTAATCAAAAAGGCGGAGCGATGCATTGTTAGCGGACAGGAACAGCGATAGTAACCATGGTTTTTGCCCAGTGTCTGCATTATTGCTTGCAGAAAATGGCCTGCCGGACGGATTGATGTTGTGACTTGGTCCGTGTATGTATGTATGACTGGCAGGCAAGGGGAGATCACTATTCCGTAGTTGGTTGAGCAATGCAGACAGGTTTCAACATTGATAGATTTCCTGCTGCAACGTGCATGTACCCAATATTCCTTCCACCAGATCACTTCCATTGAAGGTTCCATTTGATGATGATATATGCTTAGCTTATGATGGGCCAGTGGAAGATTTGAGACCACATGAGATAAAACTTCAGGGACTTATTATCTGCTGAGGTCTCCTTCGACCTGTCCCAACGGACCCAACACGATGAAACATTGAAAGGTGATAAACTGCGGCTTGTTGGCTCCGGATCGGATAACCATCCCATATGTATGTACATGTACGTCAAGTTCATGTGCTGCTTTATCTTCACTTGATTGCCAGCGAGCAGCTAGTTATTGGCTCTTATTGACAAAGTCATTCAGAGCTACAATTGATGCCAGCTTGATGTACTGTACAGTATGTAGTTACTCCGTATTTTGATTACGCGGCGTATTCAGGCCAGACGGGGTCGAGCAGCTCATTTGCTCTCCACAAAAACGCATCTGTGCGTAAATCAGATCACTCACCCACCCCACAAACCTTGAGGGGGCTACTTGATTTACCGTGTGGGGTATGTTTAGGCGCGTTCAACGGGAAGGGAAACCATACGCAGTACATACGGAGTACAAGTGCCAGGACGGAAACGACCAGAACGCACCCGCAGCTCGCCATCTCAGTTCCTACGGCAGCCTATAACCCACATTTGAGTCAAATGGAATTTTTTGGATGTTTTTCAGTATAATAAGCTTAATTCCACATAATACTCATTATATAGACACACCCCAATTACACTAGTTCTACTGTAGTTAGTATATTACAATATATGATTTAGTTCATCTTGACTTTCTGTCTATAAGCTTCATCTCATAAATCTCTCAAATTCAGGTATAGAGACTCTCAGTATAGAGGCTCTGGGGTATAGAGACCCCCAGATTAATAAAAACCACCAGTGGTGCCTAACTGCCATTGCGAACTTTTGATTGGTTCAAAAAGGCGGCCAGGAAAATGACACTAATTGTGCCTGGCCCTGATAGAGAGGTCCAATGTGGGGTCTTGATTTCAACCTTAATTACTAATACAATCAGCTTCAATCAATGCGTGCTCATTGTAACGCTAATGCTGCAGTATAAAATACCTATGTGACCCAGATGTCACTCTGGGCTTGCCGTAGTTCCACCTCAGCTCCATCACGGTGTGGGTCGTAAATCGTAGACCCTGTTCAAGGGCAGAGTGAGTCGTGGCCGCAGAGTGGTCAGTCCGCTGTTTCAACCTTGTCCAGCGCATGGCCTGCAGATCATCACCCAATAATAATCCTTCTCAACCTGCTTGTCTCGCCTCACACTAAAGTCAGGAGCATATACAGGGGTGAAGCGAGGTACGTACCGTACACCTCCAATAATAATATAATAATAGTACAGTGTACAGAGTAGTTGGAAAGAAAAAAGCCCGTCGCGAGTTGCCCCAATTTTTTCCCCAATCCGATCCGTCCTAGACCCGAAATAGCGCTCGCTCTTGGAAATAGCGCTCGCTCTTGACGGACCGCTTCTTTACTTCCTTGTGAAGGCGGAGGCGGAGGCTTGGGGTTGAGTGAATTTTTCAACAATAACCCCCACAAGCAAGCTGGGGTGAGGAATGAGACAGTCCAAAAGTCAGGCAGGGTTCACGGACATAGTACCACTTTTTTTTTTTCCCGGGTTACGAAGCAGGTACCAGGCTGCTTTTTGAGTGAGAACTCGTGTTGGGATTGTTTTCGCCCCCCCCCCCCAATTCCCTTTCCCTTCCCCCCCTCAGCTTCCAAGGCCCACCCCAGGTCTCTTGCTTCCACGTGATGGATCCCTTTACTCCAAAAGGTGCCGTATATACCCTGCTTCCATTTTTCCTCCCCCCCAGCGCGCGCCTATTTTGTTTCGTTAGGCCTGTGAGAGCTAATCTCTAGGTCTGATATCCCTTATTAGCCGGCTATGGTCATTATCTCGCGCATTCGTTCGTCGGTGTACCGCAAGTCACTCGTCTGGACGAGCACCGGGTACTGAAAGAGAGCCGCCATGACCGCCGCGAAATCGACACCATGCAATTTATTGCAGCAAACACAACCATCCCCGTGCCGAAAATCTACAACACAAAGTTCGACAAGGAGAAACATATCTCCTACATCGTGATGGAATACATAGACGGCGAACCCCTGAACAAAGCCTGGATAAACCTAACCCAGGACCAGAAAGTCTCCACCTGCAACCAGCTAGTCGATTACCTCACCCAGCTCCAAATGTTGACAGGTGAGCGCATTGAAGCTGTGAACAGCTCTACTGTGCGCGTTGGCCTATACGAATCCCGCTGGGGCGGGCCCTTCGACAGCGAAAAGGAATTCAACGACTTCCTCGCCCAGGGCCTGCAGCAGCACAACCTAACGGACAACCACGCCATCCATTTCGCACACGGCAATCTCAGCCCCCGGAATATCATGGTCAACAAGTGCGGCCGCATCACTGCCATTCTGGACTGGGAGTGGGCCGGCTGGTTCCCGCAGTACTGGGATGTTGTCCGCATGCTCGTGGATATCCCGGGCAAGAGGCAGATGCCAGATTATGCGGAGCATCTTCGGGCCACGTTACCGTACTTGTATAAGGAGGAGTACTCGGCAATGCTGGATGTGTTTCGGGGGAGATCTTCGGGCCCTCATGGGGGAATGCCTGCTCATGCCACGTCTCGTTCCAGGTGATATCGGCCCCACCCCCCTTCTCCTGGTTTTCATTCTTTAATGTGATCATGATGTGCGCACCTGAGCTGTGGGAAGGCTAGGCCTTGTAGGTTATTTATTAATTAAAACCCCTTTTTGTGCATGAAGATGGCTTCTGGTTTTTTTTTTGTGTGGGTGGTTGATCTGTTGCATCACTGCGTTGACTTATCGAGGAAACTGCATGTTCTCCTCTCTTACGATCTCTGCTGTTCGCACTGCGATTTTGATGCTGTGAGGATTGAGTGGCGTTAGGATATTTTACTCGATTTCATGATTATATGATAGCTAAAAATAATTTTGTTCAAGATATTTTTTATTATCTCTCTCTATATATAATTTTACACACAACCATACATAGTTAACAGTAAACTAGCGGGATTACTAAAATTCGAGCCAATGGATGTAGAAGTGACAAAAAGCAAAAGACAGCAAACAAATAGAAGCATTGTACATATTTATTTATCGTGGAGTATATACCAATGTTGCCCAATCGTCCAGACACAGCAACTCAACAAAACAAATCCTTGAAAGATAGACCCACCCCCAGCTTTGGATCGGGAGTCTATATTTAGAGCCCATGCGATATTTCTTGGCGCGATCTGCATACATGTATAACTCTCGGCTCCCGCCTGTGACAATCAGGGGACCGGCAGGCAGATTTATCATTTTGCCATTCCAACCGATCAAGTCATTGGAAAAGATTGTTCAAAGGATTTAATATTTTTATTCTACTCACTCTTCCTCAGTAATATTCAGACAATAATCGTACTGTACATGGATATAGGGCGACGACACCGGAACTTGAAAATGTAAGTTATATGTGGGAGGAAAAGGGGTAAGTAAGTAAAAGGGGTAAGAAAAAGGGGTTTGGGGAAATAAAATCAACCCCCGCCCCGCCCCGCCCCGCCCCGCCCCTCATCTTATTCCGAATCGAAACCCGCCTTTCACCCACGATAATCCACCGTCAACTCCCCATTAAAGACATCCCGCCCATCAAACGCAAAACTCCCACACCGTCTACACCCATGCCTATACAGGCCCCGAACATAGTGGCGCAACTGCAACACCGGAATCTCCGAGTTCGTATGCTGCGTGTACGCACACAGCCGGCCCCTGCCATTGCCATTGCCATTGGGGGTGCCGGGAGTGCAGCAGGCGATTTCCTGGCCCGGCTTGAATTTTTTGTAGGTGGGCATTCTGGCGATTGTCGCCTCGAGCTCGCTGAGCTGGCAGCCGGTGGTGTTGCATTCGTGTTTGCCACGGCAGTTGGTTCCTAGGGCTGTGGTGGAGGTGGAGGTGGAGAGGAGAGCGAGGGCGGCGGTGGAGAGGATGGTGGTGATTTTCATAGTTGGTTGGTGGTGGTTGGTAGCTAACTTTCTGCTCTTATCTATCTGTGGTTGGTTGGTTTGCAATTGGTTTGATACAGTGTGTGTGTGGTGTATGTAGGTGTATCTTTCTTCAAGATATCGTTTCTCGTTTCCTTTTCTTGGGCTTTTGAAAAAATCACTCAATCGAATCCCTCAATTCTGCTTATTATACATTCTGAATAAAGAATCCAGCCATGGAGGAGCCGTTCTCAGTATCGCATCGGCTGTATTTATACCCTCTTTTCTCAGTCCTCGCCTTTCCCGAAGAAATCTAGCCAAGGTCATCAACAAACGTTCAAATGTTCTGATTTTACAAACCTGTCATTTCCCGACTTCTCGCTCATGCATACAGAGTATACTGAAGGTTAAAAACGCTTGTATATTTATATACCTATGTCCGACTATCGCCGGGGTAGCTGCTGATGTCGTTTGTTCCTTCGGAGATGGGGTTGATATTTCTACAACCAGAGCCGTGCTAAACAGTCCGGTTCGGGGAGTTGCTACCTTTTTTAAAAGGAAGAGACAGATTCGTAGGAAAAAAATGGGTTATTGCAGCATTTCGTTTGCTTTTTATTAGGTTATAATCAATTTAGAAATATTACTGATGTTCTGTCTATGTCCTGTCCTATGCTTTGTATAGAATAGAGATGACTAAGTGATCTCATGAGCTGTAGGCTACTGGGGCAAAAGAGCTCAATCACCACCAGCGCACTGCTGGTAGAAGGGCCGACCAACCACGGGACCCCCAACACCCCCCCTCAGACCAGCTATCACAGAGTACAGTACTTCCCCTCAGTGACTCTCTTCAGTGGTCTCCCCACAATGGCTCCTTTTTAATAATGGACTGGACCACTCAGTCCTAGGACTCACAGGACTTCTAGAGCACACTCCTGAAATGTCTCTTAGCACTGTTGTCACGCTCCCGGCCGCGCCAAGGCCCCGTTGCGGTTCCACACGGCCCATCGCTTCCATGCGGATGATTCCATCCCGTCTGAACCGGTTTCCAACCACCCTATGACATCATTCGGATATATCATAGGAAGATCCGATTGATGGATATGAGAACCCCGCTTCTATACAAGGTCAGCAGATTACTTTTCCTTGGCAATGAGGCGCCGCTGAGATATCGCTCCAGCTATTCTCACTCATGAAATGAGAGAAGAGTATCCACTCATTGTCTATATAGAATAGCTAGATGCTGACTTCTTATCAAAGAAGTCAGCAATTTGTTTTACTGCAACTGAAATATATATAAGAGTTACTGTGTATCTCATACAATCTTCTTAGTATACTAAGTATCATATCTGTGATATTCTCACAATAACTCTGTAGTCTACAAGCTCACTATTTAAGTAAGATAGTTAAGCTCACTTATACAGCTTCTTAAACAACTATCTCTATATATCACTGCTAACTAGTCACTGCTTCAGTTTCATTATATTACAATTCAAATCACTCAATCTGATTATATATTTGAATCAGTTGAGCTCTAACAGACTGATATGACCTTATATATCTGTGCTGAGACTGATCTGACTTCACTCTCTGAGAAAAATACTATATCATTCTCTAGAGTGTATACATCTCTATTCTGACAGAAATCTGAGATTTCTGAACTCACTGTATATTTTAATATGAGCTCTTCAACTGTTCTGTCACTGCTGCAGCCTCTACACATCTACATCTATTATAAAGATAGAGAGATTAAGATCAGAGATTTACTGAGATATAAGAAAAACATCTTATCTGAATTTCACAGCTTTATCTGTACTCTTGAATGAAAATTCCACCTTAATCTGAGCCAGTATAATACTCACAAGATATAAGTAATATACACTGTCAATCTTCTTAAGAGTATCTCTGTGACTACTTGAGTCATTAAAAAGAGAGAGCTTGAGTATATTAATACTACTATAACTTGAGAAGAATTTAAGAACTTTCTACTGAATTAAATCAAAGATCACTGTAACTACAGCTTCACAGCAGTGCAGTGATTCAACTTATTATATTAATAAGATAATGAGAATTCTTTCAATTTCAATACAAGATTTAAAGAATATTAAGAGAAACTGACTGATGATTTAAATCAATTAAAAACACAGCTTTATCTTATGAAGCTGACTTATAAGATGTGAATAATAATATCACAGTATCAGAGTTTATTAATTAATTACACTGAGCTTATTAATCTGACTTCTCAAATCTATTTAAATAATTAATTCTCTGAGAAAAAGATTAATAAGATCTCTTCTAAGTAATCAATAACAGAATCTAAACAGTGCTATGACAGCTTCAGTATAGAGAAAATAAAGAAGAATTTTAAGTATTCTGATTCTTCACTCACTGTGAAGAAATATTAAAAAAGATTTGATAAAGATCTCTGTTTTAACTGCAGAGCTGATAGTTACTATATCAGTGATTATAAGAAGCTGAAGAAGAAAAGAAACTGAGAAAATATCTTCTTAAAGTTGACTTCTCTTCTGATAAATGTATTCATAGAAGATAAAGAAAAGAAAGAAAAGAATTAACAATTCTTATATCTTTAAGTTTATATTATGATTACAATGTATACTCTGAATGAGAAGATATCAGTGAGATGTCTACTTAACTTCAGAGTAGATATTAACTTCATATTCTATTTCTTTTCTTTGATAAAGAATTAAAAGAAGATAGATTCATCAGATTATATGAAATTTACAGATGAAATAAAATATCACTATTTTAGTATAATTTAAGCAAAGTGTGTGATCACAGACTTAGAAGAAATCTTCAAGAAAAGCAGTTTACTTCTTCACACAGTTAATATTATAGATGAGAATGTCATTCTAGATCTTCTATAATTAAGAGAAAACAATTCTCTCATTAACTAAGTTACTCAGATATAACAGTATTATCTTACTAATGAAGAGATAGTGATAGAGAAATCTGAAGAGTTTCATTGAAAGAATCTTGAGAAAAAGATTGAGTCAATATACTGTGTAGCAGATGATTGAAACTTGAGAATAGATGAAGAAGTTATCACTCTCACTATAAGAATAGCAGCAGTATTCATCATTGAAGATGAATATATATAACATCTCTTTACAGAGTTTAAGAATATCTTTTTGAAAAGAAAAGCAGCAAAGTTTTCTGATATCAAGATATAATATAAGATTTATCTTAATGTAAGAATAAGTGCTCGCAGGTGATTATTCGGGTGTTTGCAGCTTGACATGATATGTACTGTTAACTACTAGAAGTGTTTGTGATAGGAAGACAAATGTAGAGATTAAATGTATAATAGTATTCAAGCTGAGTTGTAAATAGTATTCACAAACTCCAGTCTATATAGTTGTGTGTAGTCAAGAGCTGCTAGCTCTATTAATTATATGAGAGATAGAAATAGAGATAAAGAATTTACAAGAAGTGAGATTTCTTACATACTTCTCTCTCTCTAAGACTTTATCTGTGAAGTCTTTCACTGAGTGACTTCATAGTCAGCTCAGCACTGCAGTGATACTCACTAAAAATTCTTCATAACTATAAAAAACCTTAGTGAGGAAAAATCTCTTATTACTGTAAAGAGAAAAGAGTCTGTCACTCAGTTTCTTATTCTGCAAGATTCTTTATAACCTATAGATTCTTCTCTGACTATCATACAGATTCATCTTGCATCTTTCATATAGAAGAGTTCTGATTGACTCTTAATTATTTTCACAAGATTCTTGTGTGATTATTACACAGATTCATCTCACAGGTGAATCACTCTCTGTGAGATCACTCTCATTAAAGAGAAACATTTGTAAGTTGATCTTTCATTCATTCTTGCAAATCATTGCTCTTTGACACTGTAGAATTGTGAGAAATTTTCCATTCTTTCATTAACTCTGTAGAATTGTAGAATCAAGATGTTCACAGTCTGTAATCACTCTTTATAGTCATATAGAAAGATTCAGATCTGTAATTCATAATCACTCTTATTTACTAGAGTGATCTGACTATTCTGTGAAATCACTCACAGTGTAAGCAAACCTCTTTAAAGTAGTATAAATATCTCAGATCTGTCTGTGAAATCTCATCTTCTTTTCTCTTTTTCTGTAACAGCTCTCATTCTCACAAACTGTGAGTATTCTCATTCATCTGCAAAGTGTTTTCACTCAGATGACAGAGAGAGAGTGTTTCTGACAATATCTGTATATTGATTCAAGAACTTCTCAAGAATAAAAAATTTTTTCAATTTCAATATCTTTGTAAACAATATCTGACTGCTGCTGAGCTTCTTATGAGCATTCTTATAACTTCTCTGATCACTTTTTATCAGCTGATGAAGCAGGAATGTCACTGTTCATGACTGCATCTTCACTTCTCTCAGCTCTGTCACTGCACTCAATCTTCAGGCCAGCAGCTCATCTCATTTCTTTCTCAGATCAGTCTCTGACTTCAAGCAGCACAGTTTCTTTCTTTGCTGTAAGTCTTCTCATAAGTAATTTCTTACAGACTCTAGCTGACAGTTCTTGTGAAGCTCTCAGTGTTATCAGTGTCTTCTGCAGTCTCACAGACCTATGATCACTCTCTCTCTGCCTGCACAATCTCTGACCAGGTATATGTGAATATGCCTAGATTTCCTATCAATGGTTCTTGCGCTGCAGCGCATTTCTGCAATCTCATTGTCAATGAGAGATGAGTTCTCAAGTATCTGCAAAATCTGAGTAATTAAGATAATGTGAATATCATGAATTCATGACAGAAGTTAACCTGAGCAGATGAGCTCTCTCTCTGCATTCTCATTGTTTCTGAGCTGAATACTTCAGCATAACTGAGAGAGTAGACATAGCTTCATGAGAGATATCTGATCACATGTGCAGATGACCAGTCTTCAAGACTCTGCTGTAACTATGCATACTCTGATATTCAGCTTCTCTAAAGTCTGTACATTTCTGACAGTCTTCATGTCAAATGCAACAATTGTCTGTACTGCAGATATGATACTCTCTACTTCTTTGAAAAGAGAAATTGATAGTTGTGAGAGAGTTGAGTGTTATAAGTGTTGATAATATAAGTGTGA